CTTTAAGCCAAACTTCCTCATGGCAGAGCGCCCGCGCACCCCCTCCCTCCTCCGCACACACCCCGCCCATGACTCCTGCAGGCTCTCAGGTGAAAGTGAAACAGAAGCAAAGATGGTTCTTAAAGAGACAGAGGCCCATTTCAAGGCGTTTGGAAGAGGAAGTGATGAGAAGATAAACTTATTTTCTATTTAAACATAAAAGCAGTGTTTTAACAACAACTACATGTAACATAGATACTTTATTATGGTATAGGATTTAAATATATGCCTGAGAAACACATAATAGCGGCCCTTTAAGAGCAGCTTCAAGTGAGAGTGCTGGCCATTTATGGCCCGTGGACCACCGGTTAGTTAACATCCCTGAGCTAGCTGCCTTTTTCAAAAAATGCCTTTGCCTTTTAGATTTTTACAAATCTAACCAAACAAAAAGCATCCAAGTTCACAACATTACCAGTAAACCATTTCTTGATCTGGACCTTTGAATCTAACATTTGAGAGCCTCTGGTTCAGATTTGTTGAAAACCTGTCGTCGTGTCAGTTGGACAGGTGTTCTAGTTACACAGGTGTAACTTGTTGGCTGTGTGGTCGGATTCGTCCACGCTGGTCCGTTTGATGCTCAGAGACCTTCATCGCCTCGGCAGGAAGGAGGGTTTTTCTTGCGAGCCGTCTGTCTCTCTGCAGTCTTTGAAATGCCACCACAGAATGTAAACATTTGTTTCCTCCCTGCCGAGAGATGAACGAGGTGTTTATGTTGGAGTTGGTCCTGACCGTTGGACTGAACCACCGCTGCTTTTTAAGATGTTTGTGTGTAATTTAAAAAAAGGACTTTTTCTCTGTATCCATAGAGAGACTGCAGATCTCAATCTAAAGACAAATGTCAACATTTTATTTTGGTTGTAAAACCACAGGACTATAATAGTGATGCTCAGTCCAAAACAGGGCCAGGAACTGGGGGGGGGGGKGATTTTTGAGAACTTGACTCTGATTTAACCCTCGCCTCTCTGTTTCCGTCGCAGTAAATGTGGAACTCTGCCTCCTGAGAGTTGCTTCTTCAGCCTTGTCTGCAGCACGGGATCCTTCATGGGTGAGTGTCCGAACAACCAGGATTATTTTCTCAGCTGCAGCAGCTCCAACTCTGCTCTTCATAATCCACTGCCGGTCTCCAATCCTCCATCTGAGGGGAAAAAATGACTCAGTGCCTCGAATAAATGTCCCGCATGAACCACAAACATTCACCCTCAGTAGAGGGGCAGCTGTGTGCCAAAACTGCCTTAAACCATCTATTTTGGGTGGTCCTCTCAGGGATTGTTCCCTGATGTATTCATTAATGTTTCTTCTGTCATGTASTGGTTTTCGTGTTTGTGCTGCTTCGCCTTTATGAGCCTTCAGGGCTCCCATACCTCTCACGGTCGACGCCTCCCTTCTGTAAAACGTTCGCTGAGAAGCTTGGAATAAACACCCGGTCCCACAAAGGTTTTTGCAAATTGACCTTTGTGATAACTCTCCGTTTTGTTTTAGTTATGAACGATCAGTATCTTACCTGCRGCAGGCAGAGCAGTCTCAGGGAATCGGTGAGAAAATAAAATCGTCCCCCACCTTTCCTGTCAGAGTTTAAGGCTGAGATCATCTAAAGCTGAGAAAAGTTGGAACTGTTTTGGTCAAATAAAACACAAATTTGTGACATCTCAGTGATATCGCATATGAGTGTAACTAATGTTAGTTTTTACCAAAAGAGCTAAAACTCCATCTGGCATGAAAGGTGATGGGTGATATGCCTTCCTTCAAAGCATTCTGTGTCTTTAATTTAAGCTTCATTTGCTGAGAAATGATTTGACAATGAAATGAGAAACTTAAACTACAAAAAGGGGTGCACTGTCTAATAACTACGCCTTATTTAGCTTTAATTAATCRTTAATAAATGGTTAGTTAACCTTGAAGACGTCATTAATTAAGGATGATTCATAYTTAATAAGCTATAAATAAACATTTACTAATGCTTTACCCATAAAGACTAATTACTCACAAACTAACATAATTATAGTTTATTCATGCTTAATAACTCATGAATTAACTATTTTATATACCGTCTATAATGATTGTATAAATGTAGTTTCACTCCATGTGTCAGACATGTATTATTGGCCTTTATGGGTAAAGCATTAATAAATGTACATTTATAGCTTATTGTGTATGAATCATCCTTAATTAATTATGTTTTCAAGGTTAACTAACCATTTATTAATGATTAAGTAAGGCTAAATAAGGTGTACTTATTATACCACTACCAGAAAGTTTTTTTTTCCTTAATCTGCTCTCAGAAAATGCCTGAAACATCTGCAAATTCTAACTCTGGACATTTCCCAGAGATCAAAAGCCCCCTCATTTTTTGATTCAGGTCCCGTAAACAATCCTGAGTTTATCTTTAGTTTATTTAACTCAGAGGTGTGGTGTGAGAGGAGATTAGAGGAACCGTGCTGGGCCTCGAATCGAGCAGACAACCTCAAACACGGAGTCGCGTTGCTGCGCTCTCTGGATTAAAATGTAAAACCAAACAACAACTGACCGCTGCTTTCGTTGCCGGACTGCCAACGGGAACATCCAAACAGCCCCTCTCAGCAGTTTGCAGCGCGATGAGCGCCAGATGTGAGCGATGAGACCGCTGTGAAGCTTTAATGGAGCTGTTAGGTAAACAGACGACAGGAATCTGCTCACACAGAGATCTGCAGCAGCACCGCTTCACATTTGCAGGAGAAAACATTAAACCTAACGCTCCCCTCTTCTTCTYCTCAGTCCACGGTTTAAAGACACAAACACAGGACTGAGTCCTCGTAGGGACGACTGACCGGGGCATCCAGAAATGAGACTTTTAAGAACAAATATCTTTAACTGAACAAATAAACACTGAGAAGTAACGACTACATGTGGAGCAGGTGTAGGAGTCTGAGACAGAAACTAACTGAGCACAAAATCAATGAAATCAACACAGGTGACGGGTTTTAACAGTTCAAAGCGTCTGAATGTGGGTTTATGGAGCGGTTATGAACAATTAATATCCTACCTGTTGTAGATAGCTTTTAGAACAACTTAAGTTTGGAGAAATTGAGTTTAATTCTGCCTGGATTGAAGAGCTAACTGCATCACTGCTTTCTCAAATGAACTCTGGYCTCACAAACCTGGCTAACAAAAGTGTTTCTATAAAGAATTAGCATTCTTTGAGAATTCATATCACCCGCCACCAATTATAGTTCTTAATGGGAGACAGCCACATCAAGTGAGAGTCTGATGAGTAAAGCTAAAAGTAGTGAAAGAGTAGCTGAAGTAGCAAACGTTTAAGTTAAAGCTAAATGTAAGAAAATGGTTGCTAAGGCCTACAAGTAGTAAATTCTTAGCTAAAAGTAGTAAACCGGGTTCCTGCAGATCCTTAAAAAGTCTTAAAAGGCATTGAATTAACCAATCCAAAAATAAGGCCTTAATTAGCCTTTAAATGTCTTATATCAATCTTTCAGAGGTCTTAAAAATGTTAACACATTGTAAATAGGATGACTGTATTTGTCACAAATATTAAAATAATTGGTAACATTTATTTATTTTTTAAACAAATTACCAAATTTACCGCAGCTAGTTGTTTTGTGTTAAAATAAACTGGGTAAAATGTTTTTTGTTTTTTTTTGTTTTTTCACATTTGGGTTTATTGTAAAATTGGTCTTAAATTTCCTTTCAAGTGGCATTAAAAATTATTAAAAAGTCTTAGATTTAACTTGCCTTAAGCTGTAGGAACCCTGAATAAAATGCTAGCTAAAAAAAATGAAAATAAAACAATGCTAGTAACCGTAGTAGAACACTATGCCCCCACAAACTCTGGCRTATTTCGCTCTGTGGAGGTCTGCCTGGACTTGAGGCAGACTTGAAGCGGTCGTCCGCCAGACTGATCCGCGCAGAGATAAATTTTTTTTACATCTGCGGTGTCGCACAATAAACTGCCTGGTGAGTACTGTCTTRGATGTGACACCAAGCTAATAAAGTTGAGAATCGGTGTCATTTGTGGACGAAATGGAGTCAAATTTTGAAGAGCGTCTCATGGAGGAGATTAGAAAACTTTTTATAAGGACTTTCAGAGAGCAACAAACTCGTGGGAGGAAATAGCTCAGATCTTGGGTAAGGTAGTTCTTTTCTTTTTTTTTTTTCTTTTGTTTTAAAGCTAAAATGCAAACTATCTCTTCCTCCTCATCCATGACATCATGACTGAAATTGCTAGAAATTAAAGAATTTGTCAGGCGGTCAGTACGCTCGAGTACAAAGTCCCAAACATCCGCGTTCAAAATGTGCAGAGTCCGCGTGACCCCTGGACCGCACGCAGCACACCCGAGTATGTGGAAGCCTTAAAGTAGCAAAAATTTCACTGAAAGCTAAATACATCAATAAGTACCGCAATTAAATAAATGCTAAGAGTAGCAAAATGCTAGCTATGAACTCATTAAATTCCTAGTTAAAAGCAAGAAGTAGTAAAATGCTAGCTAAAAGCTGAACATAGAAAAATTATATTAACAAGTAGCAGAAGGTTATCTGAAAACTGAGTAGCAAATGCTCACTGAATGCTAAAAGTAGCAAAATGCTGGCTAAGCCCTAAAACTACAGCTAAAAGCAGAAAATAGGAGAATGCTTGTAACAAGTAGTAGAAGGCTATCTGAAAGCTAAAGTTGCAAATGTTTAGCTGAAAGCTAAACAGAGCAAAATTGTAGCTACGCCCCAAAAGTAGGAACACAACAGAAGCATAGAACACTGGTTTGATACATAATTCCTAGATAAAAAGCTAAAAGTTGTGAAACACTAGCCTAAAGTAGTAATTTAATCGCTAAAAGGTAAAGTTGCGAAACTTTATCTATCTTTAGCTATCGAAAGGCTAACTAAAAGTCAGAGTAGCAAAAGTTAATCAAAAAGTAGTGAAACGCTGTGTGAAAGTTAAACCAGCAGAAGGTTAGCTAAATGTATCACAGTAGCTTATGGTAGTACATTCCTAGCTAAAAGTAGCTAAACTTTAGCTAAACGTAGCAAATTGCTATTTAAAAGGATCAGAAATGAAAAGTGGGTGATGGAGTTCCTGAAGATGGAAACAACAATGTGGTCTCTCTACTCTCTGTTTCTGGTCCTGCTTCTTCATCTCCATCATTTCTTGTTCTCAGTCATGCTGATCAGCCTGCTGCGTTACGCTCACGTCATCGAGAGGCACCAGAACTGCGTCCTGAACACGGCGAGCCTTTCCACGGGCTGGATCTGCGCCGCTGGTCTCATCATGGTGGGAAACTTCCAGGTAAGGGGCCGGTTCTGACGCTGGTTTATCTTTGACCAGTGAACGGACCTTAAGTGTAAAGATTTACCCTGGTTTAAACCAG